CTTTTGGTGAATAAATTATGTTGCATCCAATAAATTTTCAGGGACTAAAGAACAGGGAGAAAGAATCCAACAGAACTGAAATTTCTAAGAATGAACGTACTGCACCTTTTTTCACCCTCTATTGTTAAGGCACCTATTAAGAAGCTAGTTTCACAACATCGTTCTGGGAAAAAAAAAAATATGACGGAGGGCTCCCATTTACTGTGGTGGGAAGCAATGACTACACATGAAGGACAGCCCTCAGAGTCTCTTGGGGGTAACTATAAACCAGAGATTGTGCACCATATCCAAGTCCTCCTGTACCAAGTCCTCAGTCTTCTATAAATCTTCTAGAGTGTATCATATAAGAGTGGGGACAATGGAAACAGGAGTACAAAAGAGGCTAAGCCAAGTGACAGCCACAACAGCTGTATGTCAGAAGGGCAGTTCCTGAAATCCATACAGCATGCAGGAACTTAAGTCTGAATTAGGAACAGCCTTCCAAAACATCTGCATACTGCCAGGGATCTAACACAGGGCAGCCTCTTCTCTTCTTACATAGGCCCGATGAATCAGAATGTCTAAATGTGGACACAGAAGTTTCCACAGTACAAAACACCATCCATCATAACAATGGCACCCAGATTATGAAAGTGCAAAATCACTATTACACTCTTTGAATCGTTTTGCACTCAGTATATAATCTTCAACAATCAAGTAAATTGTGGTAAACATATAAACAGCACTGTGCAGTCATAGCAAAGAAACAAACTTCGTGTGGGAGTGAGCTAATCCTTATGTAGGGGTCTGCCTCTATGCAGAAAAATACACGAGGTACTGTTATATGAAAAACTCATTTACTCGGTTATTTTCAAACAGAAATCGAAATACATTTATAACAAAATGAATCATGTTCTCATTGTTCACAAAACACAGAATCAATTTTTAATGGAATATTTTTTAAAACACTTAAAGTTTCTAAAATTCACATAATCTGGGTCTCAGAACACAGAATACAAAACAAATACACATTAACTTATTATACAATCAATTACATGGAAATAAAAACAAAGTTCTTAATGTGAAGCCACATTTTAAAGACCTGGTTTCAAACGAATGGTTTTCTCCCAATGGAACAAGGCCTGAATTTAATACAAGAAATTTACCTCACTGTGCCTTTCAAAAGAATTATGTTGGCAAATAAAGATGGATTCTTTCCAAGACATTTAATTGATAGAGATAGTGAAAACACAGAGTTTTACAATTCTGAAAGCAAAGTACTCTCCATAACATTACCACACAATACTCTAGGAGGTTATTTTAAGTTGTAGGTTAAATGGACAATGACCTCAAGCAAAGTTAATGAATAGGGCTGTAAAAAAGCAGTATCTATAGATACTTTGGAGCCAATTCTAAAGTAATTGGAAGATTGTTGCTCTGTGTTTAGGACATTGGAGCAGGTCTGAGGGAACCCTAGCAAAGGGTGACTGCTGGTATGTTACCATAAACTAATTAGAGACCCTGACATTCACAACTATTTCACTGTGTCTTTAAAAATTATACAACATACTCAGTAAAACTGCAAACCAACCAGTCTTTTGAGTTTCTATTATTCCTTTTAGTTATTTTTGGTGAAATTTTAAACAGAGAACAGTAAATCTATTTGCCTACCAATGAACCTCCTATTGTTCTTAATTTATAATTACAAGTATACAGCTATGCAAGTTTCGATTTTCCCCAAACAGGTGGTATTTCAATTACTGTTTAACATATTGAATATGACAACTAGACTCCTGAGGCTTACAAACTAAATTTGGATGCTTTGGTACAAAACACAGTGACAACAGCAAGTTTAACTTAAAGATATCACTGAGACAAACTTTATTACTAATGCTTAATTTGGTTTAATGTATTGTTACCAAGAAAGAGCCAGTAAAAGATTCTGAACCATAAGTTACACTCATTTACACTGAAAGTTAAAGCAACAATAGTTTAATTTAAACATTAAATGCCTGCTATAGGTAATCAAGGATTTTCCTAAAGATCACAAAAAATATTAATTACCTAATATTTTAGTTTTAATAACTCAAAATGTTTCTATGACTTTAAAACTGCTTCCTATATGAAGTACACAAGTCATATATATTTTAGATGGTGTTATCTTTGTTCTATTAAACAAATAATCATATGCCACCGTAATAGGAAAATCCTGAATGGTAACGCAACATTGAACTGTGGTCATTCGCAACCAACCTATCACTTACAGGGACAGTGTTCTCAAGAGCCACAGGAAGATGGCAGACTCTCTTCCAGAAAGGATTTTATCAATCTAACCCATTTGCTTTTACAAACTCTGGAAAACTGTTAGTAAATATGTGCCAAGAAACAAGTGTACAAACAAAACTATGTGGTATGCCAAGGGCATTAATAAATTATTTCTTCATTTTGGAGAAGGTTGAGGAGACAAGAACCAAGCAATAATGAATACCCACTGCACAGTCTTATACCAAAATTAAGGTTCTAGAAGAGGCCCTTGCCTATCAGAATGACTTAGACTCTACCCTACAAATCAAATGTTGGATACAATACTGCTGTACCTAAATTAAGTATCAAAGATGACCTCTACAGCTAAGTAAAACTAGGGAAACAAACGTTTCTATACATTATCAACAATCTCTGAATTTCCACAAGGCACTAACTACTTCTCCTCTCTTAGAACACCAGCCCATTCACTCTGTGTTAAGAGAATGGAATGTTTTCCACCTGCTTTCAGCTGCCATCCACCCATCTGCAGTTAGCATTGTACCCTTGACTCATTTAATTTTTAACTTACCAAGACACCTCGTGAATTACATATAATTTCAAAATGCCAGCTAAATGTCTTAAGGTTAGGAGTGATGGCCCTCGTTCCCTGCGTCTAAACCTAACAACCCTGTCCCATCAATCCCAATGTGGAAGAGGGGAGGGTGAAAGTGAGGGCAGCCAAGTGACCTCAGTGGGACTCTACTCCAGTGAGATGCCATCCGAGGCTACATGCTGAAAGCTAGGGCAGAAACCCTGTGATAGTGACACCACCACTCAAGGCTACTGGGTACTTTGCAAAGGACAGTGGTTGCTCCCGCCTGACTCCCTGGGCTTTCATTTGGGACCTGTCATCTTCTAATGCAGTGTGATGTAGTCTAAGCTGCCTTTAAAAATAGGACCACAAGTACATGTGAGTCACTGATGCTTCCTAGCTTCAAATTTGAAAACAGTTGTTCCAAAATTTTAAAAAGACGAAATTACACATGCAGGTATGTTCATATACAGTTCCTGCCTATCCCAAACAAAGAGCACATTTTATAAGACACAAAATAGTAAAATCCTTTACCTGGCCCTAACTTTTTGAAGAAGAAAATAATGATTTTTTTTTTAAACTTAAAACAGTTAATATTTACTTAATAGTCCCTTATCAGAGCACATTGAAACTAGGACTGTCTCCTTCTAAATTAATCCTAGGCTGGGGAGATGGCTCAGCTAACACACATAACACACTTGCTGCACCAGCGTGAGGAGAGACTCCAGATCCCCAGTGTGGATGCCAGGAGGACATGGTGGTCACTATCTAACTCCAGGGCTCAGCAGGCAGACAGGCAATTCCAAACAAGATGACTAGATGCACCACGTTTTTATTTGTGGATTCATCAGAGAGATTATCCCTCAAAGAACAAAGTGGAGAAGGACCAAAGGTGACTCCAGACCACCACAGCATTAATGTACACGTGTGTGCATACACACACTCATAAAACACTAAAATAATCCTATAAATGACAAGCACATAATGACCTCCTGCATCTCCCTTTACTATTCTTCAAGATATCATTTAAATCCTTTTCTTAAAAGTCGTGCTTTTGGGGCTACTTAAACTCTAGGAAAAATGCCAAACAAAAATGTTGATTTAAAAACATTTTTTAATATGAGGTAAGATTGGTTTTTATCAAAGTTAACAAATGTTTATCAGGGGCTTGAAATTCATTTTTATATCCATATTTACTCACCAATATACAAAATACAAGTTTAGATGCCAAACATGAATACCTTACAGGAATCCCTTACATGAATGCAGGTCATCTATAAATTTTACATAAAATACACACTAATTCAAACAAAGCATTTCATTTTCTAAATGTGTTCATAAAGCTAGTTACCTAAATAAAACAGAAATTAGAAACTGGGAGTTATTTACTAGGTCCTTCACTTCATATGCAAAACAGGGAAGCACGCTGTGTATTTGCATATGTACACACACCCATATACATACATACATACACAAGCCTCAGAAACTAGAAAATCACCTACATTCTCTACAAAATAAGTTTCTTGCTCTTATTCTGCAAACCTCTTCAAAACAACCACATTCTTCCAAAAAAAAGATTACTTCTAAAATACATGTAGCAAGTCTTGACGTATTATTAGGTAGTTTGAGAAAAAGTAATGATTCCAAGTAAAAACATTGACATATCAGATTTAAAGTGGCAAAGAATTAATTTAGCTTTGGCCATATCAGGACAACAAAGCAACCCCTTTATGTCACCACTCATTAAAAGGAATGGCACAACATTAACATAAAGTAGCCCATGTTTTCTCTGGGCATTTTCAAGCATGTCTCAGATCCACCATATCTTCTACTGAGTGTACAACAAAGAGCTGCAAAGTGATTAGTAAGGCAAGGTACTGATAATGTCTTTTCTACTTGAATATCTCCCATGTTTTGAGAATAATATGAATTGCACATTCATAGATAGTAGTTTTTATGGGTTAAGATATCAGCAATCTCGAGTTTATTAGCTACTGTTAAGCAACTAATTTCTAAATGTGCGACACAACATAGTTTAATAGTATATGTAAGAAAGCGACCTGAATTTTTTCCCTCAGAGACACAAAAACAATTGTTCACGCCACCTGGAAACAGTCTTTGGCCTTGCTGAATTATAGAGCTGTACTTTACTGTGAAGCAAAATAAGCCTTCAAGTGTCCCTTACTTGATCTGAGAAGGTCGAACTCTCTGTCCAGCAGTTCCTCTTCCGTTAACTTGGAGAAGTTGTCTTCTCCGAAAGGGTTCCACCCTGACATATCTGGTGGGTGACTGGCGGCCTTCTCATTTGTGAAATGCGTGACTGCCTCCTTCTCAGTAACTGGCCTGGTTGAAAGAGAACAGACAATGGATGAAAGGAATGACGCTACAATTAAGAAAACGTCGGTGTTCCACTCTACACGTTAGAAACTCTTAGAAAACAAGACTTGGGAGTACAGGACGGACAGACAACAGCTGCAGTCTGAACTACCTCCACAAGGCACACAGCTCAACAACCGTCTGTGTATGGCACACCTGATATGTTCCTTTCTTAGCCCCTTACGCCTCAGTATTCTGGTCCATGAAAAAGAAACACAGCAGCCAAGCTGTGGTGGTACACACATTTAATCCCATTACTGGGGAGGCAGAGATGGGTGGATCTCTGTGAGTTCAAGGCCAGCCTGATCTACAGAGTGAGTTCCAGGACAGGTAGGGCTGCACAGAGAAACCCTGTCTTGAAATAAATTAATAAGAAAAAAGGGAATACAGCATAAACTTTAATTCAGCTACTGAAAAGAGTAAATAATTCAGTATATGTAAAACCAAAACAAAACAAAAACAAAAAACAAGTAGTTGGTATTAGTTACTCTCAAAGTTAACAAGCCCTAAAGTGAAAGTCAGTAGCCACACCCAACAGGACCACTCTAAAACCACTGCTGAATGTGGTAAAGTGACCTGATACGTACCCTGTATCATATGATGCTATATTGAGACACCATAATAAAAATGATACTCCCTACCAAATATACCTACCTAAAAACATGACCTGCTAGTTCTGCCTTATGAACAGGCAAAGTTAAATAGGGGTTCTTTTGTAGACACATAATACATCAGTTGCCGTGTTCAAGTGTGGTCCTGGGCCTGAGTCCGCTGGTTCTATGGAATTTATCCAACAGGCTTGTTAGGTTTTAAGAGAAAATCCCAGCCTAAAGGTATCTCAACCTAAGGGGTACCTGGGTACCTCCTCACCCCAACCAGGAGGCACAGCACAGAATGAGGTAAAAGAACAAAGTTATCAGGTCTCCAGCAGCAGTTATTGAAAGACTGAGAGTGGGAAAGACTCTCCATTTTGTTAAAGAAATGGCTTAATGTTAGGCCTTAGCTCATCTCCTGAAATCACTGTCATTCCCAACACACAGGCTGTAGAAGTGAAAACAGAGAGCAAAGGATGTTCTTAATCCCTAAACCCTGGCCTGCTTGTTACATTTCAGTCAAAATAAGAATGGTGAAACAATTATTGAAGTCTACAGCACACAAAAGGGAAATAATGAGTTATTTACCTACAACTCAACAGACTTACTTGGTAAATAGAACGTGAGTATGACCAAGTCATAAATCTACCTTCATGTGGCAGAATTTCATCTCTACTTTCAAAGTGTTTTGGACTTGCTAGGTCCTTAAGACGCACAGCGGATGGGAAAACTCAAGAGAGCATTTCCCTTTTGCAGACAGCTTTTCAAACTGCCTGGCTTCCTGTGTGAGCCATTCTCCTCCCATTCCTGGGATGAACTCAGAGACTGTTTTTGGTACACTACTCAACAGTGTCACCTTAATCCACAATTTAAAGACATATTAAATACAGCTGCAAGGCCAGGGGGTCCAACACCACACAGAGCACTCAGGGCTGGGAGTCAGGAGGTTAATTCTTTATACTTCTATCCAAAAAGAATGAAACCTAATCCCTGATCCCACATGACTTTCTCACTATAGTTACAATTACTTACTTTACCACACTGCATTTCTTTAAATGGCATTTGATTTAAACAGCTGTAAATAATTAAGAGCATTTTAAACAAATTAAAGACATGATGAATTGGTTAACAGCACTTCCTGCTCTTGCAGAGGATCTGGGTTCAGTTCCCAGGACCCACATGGTGCCTGACAACCATGTGCAACCCCATTTCTAGGAGACAGTGCCCTCATCTGGCCCTACGGGGAACCAGGTCCCTACATGGTGTGCATGCATAGACATAGGCAAAACATTCATACACATAAAATAAAAATGAATCTTTTCTTTTTCTTTTAAGTAACAGAGAGGTTGGAGGCACAGGTTCACAGGAAAAATAGGCACTTGGCATGCCCAAGGCCCTGGCTTCAATTTCCAGACAGATGACAAGTGCAAAGATTTCTGCTGTGGAGTGTTTAGCTTTACTGACTTTAGCTAGACATGGTGGCACATGCCTTCAACCCCAGCACTTGGGAGGCTAAAGCAGGTACATCTTTAAGACTCAGGCCATCCTAGTCCAGTAGCAAGCTCTGGGACAGCTAGAGCTACATCATGAGACTGTCTCAAAAGGACAACAAAAGACACTGACTTTTGAGGCTCCCACAGTAGGGACCGCTGGCTTTTAGGGCTATTGAGACTTGTATAAACTTATACTTCTGAAGGGTTGTCAGTCAGCCTCTGAAGTACACCATGCACAATGAGTAGTACTGACAGTGAAACCCTGAATGAGAGGGTCTGTGTTACTGCTGCACAGCGTACACACTATCTGAACTTCATTTGTGTTTTGTTTTTTGTTTGTTATTTCTGTTTCTCTGGGCAGTGCTGGAAAGTAAATCTGGTGTTGCCATGTGGATTTCTAATAAAACCAGCAGCTTAATGAGCCTATACCAACTACAACCAAGCAAAATATGAGATTCTAATTTGCTTCAAGGATGTGGTTTAGGCCTAAATTTTCTTAAAATAATGCTACTAATATATTATAGAAAAGTGCTAAGCACATGAACAAAAACTAGAGTGAGCAAGTGGCAAACACTTGATTTGTACCTTTAAATTCTGTTCTCCATTACACGAATTTGGTCGAACTAATGTACTATTTTTGAAGCAAATACTTTTGCTTCAGAAAAGCATCTCATTATTTTTTTAAAAATCTCCTTCCTGGTGTCACCCCAGTACATAACAGATCCCTATCATTCTTCTCCTTCCTTCCCTCCCCATCTCCCTCCCTATCTCCCTCCTCCCTCCCTCTTTTCCTCCCTCCCACTCATTCACACAACACTATGACTGACTACCTTCTTTGATATGGTTGTTCCTCACGCCCACTGTCCACTCAAACTCATATACCCTCTCTCAGCTACTGCTTCAAAGCCTGAACTATAAGAGCCTCTTTGGTGTCCGGGTAATGAGTTTATCAGCTAATTTCAGTCTTGAATTTGTCTTGAATTTACAGATGTCCACAGGGATCACTTTGGGCTGGGAGGGGTGTGTCTTTGTGTGCACACATACACTTGTGCATGTTTGTGTGCATGCACACATATGGGGGGAAGAGGCCAACCTCTAGTGGTGTTCCACAGGGGCTGCCCACCTTGTTTCTTGATGCTAGGTCTCTTAAATGGCTTGGGCTCATCAATTAAACTGGGTTGGGATCTCCACACATCCACCATCTCCACCTCCCCATCACTCCCGCTTTAACAGGCCCTGAAGATAAATGCAGATCTTTGTACCCGCGTGGAAAACACTTTAACAAGCTATCTCCCAACCACTTCACACTGACTCAATTCCAAGATCCCAAAGTACTCACTAATATTAATGTCACATCCAAGTGTGAGAAACTTTGTAATGACTTCCCATATAAAGTACCCACATAATAATTCTAACCAGTGTACCTCAATAGTTAAAATTCACTATTCCCCAACTATACTGAGTTTGCTATGCATGACATAATTAAAATGTTTGTCCCTGTGTTAAAAAAAAAAAATGTGTAAACTTTATGAATAGTCAAGTTAACTGAAGGTAGCAGTAACGCATAAGTAGAAAAAGTCTACATGACTACACGGGTTATTTTCAACTACTAAAGTAGGCTTCCGGTATTTTGGTTGTGCTAAAATTAAAAAGAATGCTGTGACTTGCACACCAATACATTCCTTACCTAAATGTCCACATGTATGGATAACTTTGTCTGAAAATAGAACTGGCAGAAGTGCTAGATGGCAACAGGAGGAGGGAAGGCACACAACAGAAGATTAGGGAGAAACAAATCAGCTCAACATGAAGATCATCTAAGTCAATTCAAGAGCCATGTAGTGGCCCTTCCCATCAGTGTCACCCACTTCCACAATGAGTCCCTTTGTCGTCAATAGAAAAACACTTGCCTGTTGGCACTGAAAGAGGAATCCACCATGGGTCCAAGCTGAGCTGGAAGGGAGGAAGCATAGGAAACTAGGGCTGGTGAGAACTCTTGAGGGGAGGTAAGATACTCAGGTGATGCCTGCTGCAGAGGTTGCTGATGGTGCTGAGGCTGCTGATGGTGAGCTAGCATCTGCTGCTGCAAGAAAGCCTGGTGATACTGCTGCATCTGAAACAAGACACAACATACAACCCACATTCAAGTCACCTCAGCACTACACCTATGTGTTCCTTCCTCTTCCCATGGAAAAGAAACTGGAAATCCAAAAAAAATATTATGTATCTGAAGAAGTAGTTGTTATCAGAGAACTACATGGCAGTGATTTAAACTCATTTAATATAAAAAAGCCAGAATCCCTTGGCCAGATTAAAAACTCCTCCTTTAAGGGTTTTATGAAAAAGACAAAGGATTAGGTTAAGGTAAACTGATTCTCAGGAAGAAAGGGGGGGGGGGGGCAGAGGAGGAGGGAAGAAGGGAGGGAGGAATAAACTGCCCATTGGAGCAAATACATTGTACAGTCCTTCTATGTTTCCCTTTTACTCAACAGATACTTGCTGAATCAAATATATATATATATGAAAAAAGGAATTCTTACAAACACAAGTGTCATCAGACAGTTATAATGTGACACACTCAGATGCAAGAGTTTACCTGCACACTGCTTGTGGATATCTGCCTTCGATGAAAATGTATCACTTAAGTAATATTTTAATTTGTGTGTATAAATACATTGGAGGGGCCAGGGTGTAAGTACATGTGGAGGCCAAGACCAAAACCGGATGTTTCTATCAATCTCTAGTTTGTTTTCTAAGACATGATCTGTCACCAAATCAGTTCATCAATTCAGCTAGAAATGGTTGGCCAATGAGCTTCAAGGATCGACCTCTTTCTAGCCCCACCCAGTGGGATGCTGGGGAGCATGTGCTGCTAGCTTTCTACTTCTAATTAGGGCTTGGGATCTGAACTCAGGTCCTCTAACTTACATAGCAAACACTGTTTATTGAGCCATCTTTCCATCTTCCCTCAGTTAAATAACAAACCAATTTGCATGTGTGTAGACAGAGGTTAAGATTTGGATGTTTATCTGTCATGACTTCTACACTATTTGTTGAGACATGGTCTCTCACTGGACCTGGAGCTCAATGATTCAGCTAGACTGGCTGCCCAGCAAACCCCAGGTTTTCTATCTCTGCCTTCTTATAGCTGGGATTACAGGTGCAAGCTATTTTGAGGCCAGATTTCTGAATGGGTGCTGAAGGTTAAACTAGGTCCTTATACATGCATGACATGCATTCGCTGGACTGACTCGTTTCCACAACACCCAAGCTGACTGTGGATCATGAGAGCCTACATGCCGCCACGCATACTGTAAATTCCAACTTAGTAATACACACCTGTAGGGAACATCTAGATATTACACAGCCCTTACCATTGTAGGATACTGTGATGCGGGAGGTTGTGGCTGATAGACTGAATGCATTAAAAACTGTTGTTGAAGTATCTGCTGCTGCTGCACTGCATGTTGATACTATGATGGGGGAAAAAAACAGAAATCAATACTATGGTGGTTTGAATGAGAACGGCCCCCACAGCCTCATATGTGTGAATGGTATTCCCCAGTCAATGGTACTATTTGGGCAGGATCAGTAGGTGTGGCCTTGTTGGAGGTGTGTCACTGGGGATGAGTTCTGAGGTTTCAAAAGCCCACTGCAGGTCCAGTCTCTCTCTCTCTCTTCTAGAAACATGCAGATCTCTCAGCAACTGCTGCAGCACATGCCAGCCTGCCTGCCTGCCTGCCTGCCACATCACCCACCATGGTGACCATAGAGACCCTCGTAAACTGTTAAGCAAGCACCCATAGACACTTTATGACTTGCCTTGATCATGGTGTCTACTCAGTAATAGAACAGTAACTAAAACAAACAATATTCATACCTATTCAATGCCAGAGGATTTTTTATTATTATTATTTATTTTGTATGTATGGGTGTCTTGCCTGAATGTCTGTCTGTGCATCATGTACATGCAGTACCCAGAGAGTCCAAAAGAGGGCACTAGATTCCCTGGGACTGGAGTTATTGATGGTTGAACCATCCATCATGTGGGCACTAGGACTTGAACCTGGGTCCTCTGCAAAAGAAGCTAGTGCTCTTAACCAACGGGCCATCTCTCCATCCCAAATTCTGTTTTTGTAAGTGATTAAGAAAATCAGATCTTAAAACCAACATAAGACTGCCACTTTATATATGTTTATCAGAATTAGTTTTAAGGTAGTAACAAAACAAGAGTCTAGCTAAACCTGTATGAGCGAGCGCAGTTTACGGATGCTTGGAGCAGAGCTAGCACACACTGGTCAGCATTTCCTAGTTGATGAAGATGGACGGCCTTCAGTGATCTCTGCTTCATTACAGAAGCTCTCCTGTGCTCCCTGCCCTCGCTCTGTCTATCAGCCGATAGTGCAGGAAGTGACACAAAGGCAAGTGTCATGTGCACCGTTAGCTCACACACACCTCACCCAAACATACAACACTTGTGCTTACAGTACTTCCATGTAGGAAAGTTTAGTGAGACTAGAATTGGGAAGGGTTCTATAAAGCAGAGAGCAGAATAATGGTTCTTTTTTACTCTATTCCAACACAGTCAAAACTATTGAAAATTAAAAACAGGATTACAGAAATGACTCAGCAGTTAAAGACTATGCTGAGAGCCAAAAATATAAATAAATAAAATAATAAAAAGACAATGTTACTTTTGAAAATACATCAAGGTAGCATGGAATGAACTCAAAATATAACAAATTTCTGAATACCAAATAAGCACTTTTGTTTCATAAAGCCATGATGTGACTCTCTTCATTTAGCATCAAATGAAAATTAATGAGATATTCTTCCCTGAGCAGGAAACTCAGGCAAATGTTTATTTGAATACAGTTCACATTATACTAAGCCTATGACACAAAAGTGAATGCAATGATACCTGACTGTTGTGTGAATTTCACGCTACTTCCCTATCTAAAGTAATAAAAACCCTACCTGCTGCAAATAAGCATTTTGAAGTAGCTGCTGCTGCTGTTGCAGCTGCTGTTGTTGCAACTGCTGCTGCTGCTGTTGCTGCTGCTGCTGGTGAGGAACTCGATGCAAATGAAGTTGCTGTAATCTCCAATCTCCCTGCTGTAACTGCTGGAGGACTCTATGTTGCTGTGGTGGTTGCTGAGGGGTTCCCTGACCCACTAAGACTTCAGACCCGTTTCCAGGTCTCAGTGCGCCTGTAGTTCCAAAACATTAATACACACGTAATTTCAACAAGATGGCTGGATTTCAAGGTATTTAATTAAGACATTTCTATAGCCTTACATTACACAGTCTAAACTAAGTACTTATTGTAATTGTAACTGCCCATGAAATGTAATTTTGTCATCCACAACTCCAACAATTAAGTATCTTATGAATGCACCATGCATTGGCTTCATCATCCTCCCCAGGAAGTAGCCACACACACATGCACTGCAAGTCCCACTCCAGCATACACCCTGATGAGCATGCATCCACACCAGCAAGACTCTCTGGGTCTTAAGGCTTCACTCTCATCTACCGAAATCCCACTATTTAAAGTTTAGATCAAATATCTTTCTTGTTCCTTCACCTAGCATTTCCTCTTAATTTATTTCATTCCACGGAGCTCTGCCTTTCACATATTAATGGCTTACATCGCTGTTTTCTTTTACTTTCCTATTATTGCAATATATTTTTCTCATAATATATATATATATACATATATATATATATATATATCCTGTTTCCCCTCCCCCTCCCCTCTACTCCTCCCAGTTCCTTCGCACTTCCCCTCACATCTAGATCCACTTCCTTCCTACCTCTCACTAGAAAACAAATAGGCTTCTATGGGACAATAAAATAAATTATAGTAAGATAAAACAAAAACTAACACATTGGGGCTGAAGAGATGGCTCAGTTCAGAGCAGTCGAGAGTACTGCTACTCTCCAAGAGGACCTGTGTTCAATTCCCAGCGCCCACATGGCAGCTCACAACTGTCTTGTCACTATAGTTCCAGGGGACCAGACACCTTCACACCAGTGCATATAAAATAAATAAATTTTTAAAAAAAACTAATGCATCAAAATTAAACAAAACAAAAACAAACAGAAAAGAGCCCAAGGTACAAGAAACACAGATCCACTCACACACTTGGGAATCCCATATAAGCACTACACTGGAAGCCACACCCATATGATGGCTCACACCCATCTAAGATGGCAGTCTCAGAGGCTCTGAGACTCCACAGGCACCATATCCAGTCATGCAAGCACCAGGCATGCATAAAACACCTACACACATAAAATTAAAGTAAATAAATCGGAGGCAGAGACAGAAGGAGGGAGAGACAGAGGGAGGGAGTAAGGGACTCCAGCAGTACAGCAAACCACCCTGAGAAAGACAAGCAGAACCGCATGAAAATAAAAGGCTGTTCTGCAGTAGAAAATGAAGATACTATCCACATATGGATTTACAACTAACCAAGAATTTACATATCCATAAAGAACACCAAAAATTAGGAACCAAAAGCCCATCCAATCAAGAAACTGACTAATGAACTGAATAGACAGCTCTCAAAGAAAGCAATACAAATGAAAATACCAGAGGAAGTGTTCAACATCCTAACCCATCCAAGAAATACATATAAAAACTACACTGGAAGTCTATCTTAGTATAGTGACAATGGCTAACACAAGGCCGGGGGGGGGGGGGGTTGACAAATGCTGCTTTGAAACTGGTGCCCTCAAGTACACTAATGTGAATATAAACTGGAATAGTCACTATGGAAATCAGCACAAAGCACCTAAAAAAAAAAAAAAAAAAAAAAAAACCTACAAATGCGGCTGAGGAGATGGCTTGGTCAGTGAAGTGCTGCCCCTCACCAGCACCCACACAACAAAGCCAAGCCTGCAGTCCCAGCACTGCCTGCAACTCCAGTTCCAAGGCATCTGATGCCCTTCCCGGCCTCCACCACCAGGTGTACACGTCACACACATACATACAAGCAGATGAAACACCCACACACAGAAAATAATTTTTAAATGAAAGGGGAATTGTATACGAATGAGGTCAAAATGTCATCATCTCTTTCCCGTGGAATTAATATTCCAACAGATGTACTTAATATCACAAACTTATTGCAGCAATATGCCAGGTAATGCAAAGATAAACATCACCTTCTCTGAGCTTGTACTTAACAATAGTAATAGTAAATGCCAGTCAACATTGCATAATACTTCTGGACCACAAGTTACATTAAGCCCTCATTTAAACTTCTCAGGAATATGATTAGATAGGCACTCATGTTTTTATTAGATACGTTAGTTTTAAAAATGGGGTAAATATAACTCAAATCAGATTCATGAGAGTCAAAATATGTGGTCCTAACCACCACAGTACCTGTAATAAAAACATTTCAACAATAAAACAAGACAAATTTGTCAGGAAATATTACACGAATCAGGCTTTCCTGGAGGTGGTGATTCTTCAGATTACATCTTTGACAACTATTAGAGATATTTCCCTGTGGGAACATTTTTTAGGTATTATAACACTTATCATAATGCATTTAAGAAACAATTTCTCAAAATCAAATAAGAACAGTGCTTATGCTGTGATATCCATATTGTTCCTTCACCAAGGCTCTAGAGACTTGTAACTCTGCAAGGACGGAAATGTAAACTACTTCCTGTCCAATGCAACACAGAAGCACCAATGCTTTTTAAATGTTACTGCCACCCTCAAACCTACTAGGTGATGACTCAGAGGATGTGTTTCTACTTATGTATCAAAGCAAACTGATGTATCTATACACATTAAAATTACTAGCAACTCTGCCTCTTAAAACACCTTTAGAAAAATAGTTCAGCTTATTAGACATCAATAGACAGGTTCTTGTGGAAAACAGGGTGTTTATGACTGTGTACACATATGTATGTAGGTGTGCTCACACACACAAGTAGAGGTCAAAGGGGGATCCGGATGTCCTGCAATCATTTTCCCATTTTCTTTTCTTCTGACACAAGGTCTCTCACTAAAGCTAGAGCTCTCATTTCAGTCAGACTGGCTGGCTAGCAAACCTACAAGCAGTCTGTCTCTATTCCCTCACTACCCCCAAGCTCCTCCCACCTCTACCTCCACCACCCCATACTGTGGCTATAGGAGCACACTGCCACACCCATCTATTTTTACTGTGGGTGCTGGGAATCTAAGTCCAGATCTCCACATTTGCGCAGCAAGCACTTTACTGACTGAGCCATTTATCCAGCCCTATTTCTTAAAGCATTGTGCTCTGTGCTTTACCATATTAAATTCACTTATATTCTCAGGGACTCAAACCACATCACGTTAATCCATATCATGAGGAGGTCAGAACTGCAAAGGCTAATTACCTTTTGGTTTGTGGTTACTGAAATCACCAGGGGCAGGGACTTTAACAGGTGTTGCTGAGCTCTGAATGGTCAGCACACTGGAGCTGGCAGTAGTGGAATTGGCCTTTGGTCTTTGCCTTGGTGCAATTGAGGTTTCTGTTGGTCCAATGGTATCTGTTATTCTATAATAGAAAAATAGAATTCACTCCAAATATTGAGACTATTTCTAGTTTACAATTCATTTCTAGCCATGTTAGTTACAGATGACCACATTAGTCCCTAAAGGATGGCCTGAGCCTGACAGAATACAAACAGAAACCCTCTCATGAATTTTGTGACAAAACTGAGATTCAGTTCTTTAAAAAGACACAAGAAATAAACCCCTTAGCTTGCACTGGAGCAGTAAAAGACAAGACACAGTGCTTGTCGGGTAAGGCTGCTGACTCACCTCCAACCTCTGTTCTCCTAGAACACTAAATGAGAATTATGAGAAATGTCTGACTAGGACACAGCATAGACCCCAAATGCAGACAGTACAGTGCTAACACGATTTTTAAAGCAATACGATTAGCAGACATAGGTGAATTTTCAAAAAGAACAAACAAAAACAGAAAGTAAATAATTATTTTTAATACCTACATATTAAAAAATGTGTCTGGATCAAATACAGTGCCCACCACCACCCCTCCAACTCCCTCCCTGTCACCCTCACAACTTCATGTGCTTTATTTTTCTAGCAATCCCAGCACACACCTACAGCTCTTTCACAATTCCTACATGTAGCACAAGAGGGAGCCACCGGAACAATTATCTCCCCAAAAGGAAAAAAACACTGCATCACAAGCTTTAGAAAATGACATGAACAGTATTACAGAGGGACTGGCTGGGAAGTGGGGGGAGGGGGGGGGCGCCAGTGTGGAGGGGGCGAGCAAAGGATGGGAGTGGAGAGCACATATGGTCAAAACACTATAAACAAGCAGCAAATTATCCCAAACAAATTTAAGGCCATTTTCACCCAGAAATTGTGTGAATATATTGTGGGTATGCCATCTTGTAAAAATAATAGGCAGGGTGAGCAGCATGGTAGAATACAAGTCTTCTAAAAAAGTGTAACAAAGATAAGTAAGGTCACTGATAGCCATAGCCAATTACGGCTCATTTTAATGATACTCAAGACACCCACAAGACCATTATGTATTCTTAATGGCTGAATCATCTCTCCAGCCCCAGATTTTAAGGCTCACTCTACATAATAGAACTCAAGAAATAGAGTATGAATGAAAAGTAAGGTTTCAAATTTAATTCTTTACCAAGCTTCCTAGTTATACACACACATATATTCAATAATTACAAACACAAATATCCTGTGACAATTATTATTTCATTTCTTAAATATAAACAATAGGCCTAATGGCTATCAACTCAAATCTAAAGTTTCCTGAATTAAGAATAGTGAGTGATGAAAATGACAGCAATCACAGAGGCCCACAGCAACATCAGCAGTTAACACTCTCACCTACCCAGATGAGTAAGCAGTTCCTATGACAAGTGGCAAGCCCACTACCTTTGAAACTTACTCTGTACTCACTCGCTACAGTACCACAGACTGGACAACACCGCATTTCGGGGAATGGGATTGCCACAGTCTTTTCTTTTACAGAGAGCCTGGTGCTTTCAGCCTACCTGGCTTTCATTTGGCTTTTCCTAGCAGCCGCTTCACTAGCGGTCATCGGTTCAGGGAGAGTTGAGGGAAGAGAAGAATTCTGGAGGGAAAAAACACATTTTTCACAATTAGTTTTTAATTTGAGTTGTAGTCATTTTTTTAGACTATAGTAGGCTAATAAACTTTCAAAACACTGCCTGAGATGCTACTGTTTTCATGATATGCATTACAAATTATTCATGTACTCCCCTGGTTTAATCTGGAAACATGACGTTACACAACTGCCATCTTTATATTGATGTTCACACAGAGATCTTTGGAGGATGAACACAGCACTACTGTATACAGCATTCTTTTCAGTAAATCTTGAGTTTGTAACATTTGAGATTATAACATTTTGTACTTGAGAAAATAATTACACAACCAGAATAACAATTGTGTGTTTCTATACTACAGACAACTGTCATGATACTGTCAAGTCTAGAAAACGGAAATGGGAGACAGTGCATCTTTTTATGTCACATCTGTTTCAGTCTGGGTACTGTGAGCATGAGCTAAACAGAAAGCTGAAACTCAGTGAAACCTAGGATAAAGCTACTCTCCTCCCTAAAACATCAGAACATCATAAGAGAAACACTAAAGTGATACAGTGAGGGCTCTAAAGAGGAGGAGAAGGCGCCACAGTTCTTCCTCTGTCCAAGTAGGTAAGTTACACATGAAGAAAAGGTAAGTCAGAACAGAATGACCTCTACGGTGTTAGGATGTATTACACTCAATGATGACCTAAAAATCTGGCATGTACAGCTCATTGTAGTATGCAGGAAGGGAACTAGAAGTCAAAGCCTTTGAGGCAGGCATGACAGCATACATATTTAATCCCAGCATTCTGAGAGGCAGAGGCAGAGGCAGAAGCAGGCTGGAATCTGTGAGTTTGAGGCCAGCCTGATTACATAGTGAGTTCCAGGACAGCCAGGACTATGTAGAGAGAGGGAGAGAGAGATGGAGGGAGGGAGGGAGGGAGGGAGGGAGGGAGGGAGGGAGGGAGGGAGGGAGGGAGGGAGGGAGGGAGGGAGGGATAGATATATGGAGGGAGCGAGGAAGGCAAGGGGGAGGGAGAGAGGGAGGGAGGGGGAGGAGGGGGAGGGAGAAAGGGAAGGAGGGGGATGGAGGGAGGGGAGGAAGGAGAGAGGGAAGGAGGGGGAGGAAGGGAAGGAGGGGGAAGGAGGGAGGGAAGGAGGGGAGGATGGGGAGGGAGGGAGGGAAGGAGAGAGGGAAGGAGGGGGAGGGAGGGAGGGAGAGAGAGAGGGAAGGAGGGGGAGGGAGGGAGAGAGGGAAAGAGGGAGGGACAGAGGGAGGGGAAGGGAGGGAGGGACGGAAAGGGAGGGAGGGAGGGAGAGGGAGGGAGGGAGGGAGGGAGGAGGAGGGAAGGAAGGAGGCCTTTTGAGTAAAATCAGGTGACCCCAAATGAGCACTGTACTTGGCCTAGCACTGGGCTGCTGTGCTATTTATTAGCTACAATCATAAATCCTAACCTAGTTTTTACAGGGGAGAACGGGATCAGCCACCATGAAGATATACAAGAAATATCTGTAGTCAGTTCTACAATGCCTCTACTATTTACATCAAAGGATCCCAAGGTTTGCAATTAACACTGTGCTTTGAGTCTGCCCCAGTAATGTCTGACCATACCTCTTGGTTAAAAACCAAAAACCTAAAATCCTGTTCTCAAATGCTTCAGTACTTAATAATAACAGCCAATGCTCTGTGACTGACACATCATGTTCTATCTCTCTCCGCAATGCCAAGAATCCTGCAGAAGCTCTCCAGAACCCTGAGAGAAGTCTAGGAAATGAAGCTTCATACACAAACTATCATACACTCTCAAGACCACCTGTCAGGAAACAAGTAGCTCTTAAAGCGTATACACAGATATGTAAACACACTCATAATTAAAATAGATTTTAAAGTCTTACCTACTTGAAAAACTACTTACATTGATGTTGGAGACTGGACAATCCTTTTTGGCGAATTTAAATGCAAAGTAGGATACTTGAAATATATCAGGTCTGAGTTCTGGATCTGGTTCAAGCATGAACCCTGTAATAACAGGTCCAAAGATTATGATGAAAACTGAAGACAAACACCACAGAAAAGCATATCACGGGGGTCGGGAGGAAGGATCTGTTCTAGGATGAGGTCAATGACTAACTGATTTGGTAATGCTTAGAGGAAATGGCACAAATTTGTTCTGTAAATGAACTTAACTATGAACATCTACCTCTGTGCTGGGCAGATGGCATGTATCATTATACTCTTAAAAAGTGACACAAAACAAAAGCTGAATTGACAACATAAAACCAGTGACCTTAGGGAATACTTAATTATTCAAGAAGGCTCCAGGGTCTCACTGAGGAGATGGACGGTTCTGCTAAAACAATTCCCTTTAAAATAACCTGCATAGGACCAAACTAGGACCTCTGAACATGGGTGACCAAAGTGTGGCTTGGGCAGTCTGTGGGGCCACTGGCTTGAACTGGCTTTTTGGAGCCCATTCTCTTTGGAGGGATGCCTTGCTCGGCCTAGATATAGGGAGGAGGGCCTTGGTCCTACCTCAAAGTAACGTGCCAGAGTTCGCTGACTCCCCATGGGAAGCCTTACCCTCTCTGAGGAGTGGATGGGAGGTGGGGTGAGGGGCAGCAGGAGGAGGGGAGGGGCAGCAGGAGGAGGGGAGGGAGTGGTAACTGGGATTGGTGTGTAAAATGAGAAAAGATTGTTTTTAAAATAAAAAATGTTTGAAAATGGGCCAATTTAAAAATATAATTCTCACTATTAGCTAAAATATCTTTATTTTGAAATTATCCTAATCACTGAGAAAAGGATAAGTATGCACATTATAATTTATTTAGCAGAGCAGCAGAGGATTGGCACTAGAGTTTTGAGGGGTTTTTGTTGTTGATGTCGTTGTTGTTGTTTTGTTTTTGTCTTTTTTAAGAAATGCCTTCTTGGCATACTAACAATAAGGACCACAATTCTTTGTTTCAATATTCTTTCTCATCATCATGGTCAGAAATTTGAGCAGTGTTATAAGGACTAGTAACATACTTACATCAACCTTACAGCACATGTCAAGTCCCTAAGATATTCTGTCTAACCAAAAATGACCATTAACCACCATTTATTTTTTGAGTGATTTATATTTCAATTTTCCAGTGTTGAAATTTATATCCAATTATGTAACCAAAAAACCTTGAGTTGTATTAGAACATCTCCATGGCCAGCCCTACTTCATTACCCTTAAAATACTTCTAATGCTTAAATTATATAAAATATGTCTGAAATGAAAACTTACATTAGCTATTCTCAGCTTTTCTAGTGAAACAGTGAGTGTCCACAGTCACAGGACTAAGATAGAGCTACATGTCAGAACAGACTCAACTCCCATCTAAACCTAGTGCCTTGAACAAAGTATCATAAACAGTGACTCCAAGGGACAAAGCCTAGCTCGTATCAGGAAATTATGAGCTTGATTTCAAAAATGCAAAAATTATCCATGTAATACGAGTTATATATTTTAAAAGCTAGTTTATTCTTTAGAGTTTTATTATCATTATTAGACTAAAATAACTAACATTTAATTAGATTATTTGTTAGTTTATATTCAACCCTTATAATAAAGACCTGAGAGATCTACAAGGTATAGTATCTCCTAAAATAAGTTATATCTTAATACCAAAAATATTGAGTTTTACCTAAAATTAATTTAACAAAGTAAAATAAATTTAACATACTTTTAATAGTGTTTAAGAGTTTAATATATAATATAAATATATATCATTTATTGGTTTTTTTCTTTTCAAGCCATCCAACTAAAAATAGAACTAGTTTTAAAAGCTACAAAATGTCATTAAGACATTAAGACCTAGTCACAGGTACCTAGATGGTAACCTGGACAGCCCAGACAGGCAACTCCAACTTGACTGGAGGCTACCACATGTCAGAAAGCTGGAGCAAACAATGCTGCCCGGTGCTTAACCATGGAGATTAAAGTGGAGGTCTGGCTCCGTTACACAGGGGCTTGTACATACGATGAGCTACACAGAACTGTAGGGAGAATGTGAAGCCCTGAAGAAATATGCATCATGATATTTCCATGGATGCTGATGTCCTACATCCATAGGTTCAGCCCAGTGCCTCGACCCTGTGAGAGCAGCAAAGCTGTCCCCAGACGAGGCTCAGAAGGATGGCAAAGCCTTCCGGTGGGGGCGGGGGGTGAATACTGATGGTGTGTCCACAAAGTGTCCACTGTAACGTCCTCTCACCACTCCCCAGCGAATGTGTACAGCATGAAGACTGCTCCTACTGAGTCTAGACGAACCCGCCTCCTTGTTCAGCTATATCTAACAAGGTACTGAGGCTTCTCCATCAGAGTCCAGACCACTGATCATCCCAGCATTCCTGTAAGTCTTCCTTACCCCTGCTCAGGGTTCCATGAGCCAAGTCAAGCAAGGCCACAGCACACCTATTTAATGCGCTCATCATTAAGCGTGTGGCTGGCAGTGTGCCCTTTCCCCAGTAGCTTAGTCTGGTTCCCCTTGCCTGAGAAAAGTGTTTCATATAATGCAAAGCACTTTGTGTGTGTCAGGCTGATATGATTCTCCAACTTCCAGTATCTGTGAGGAAATCAGTACCACAGAAATTCTGTGCTTTAAGAGTTATTTGTGTCCTTTTCTCTTGGATATCATGACGAAATATTTCACCATGTAGCCCCTTCTCCTTGATTTACACAAGACCTATACATTAGCAAAGTTGACTACTTCTCAAATAAGTAATAAGTATTATTTGCAATTTATGTGAGCATTGCTGAATTGGGGGATTTGGTGGGCGTGGTGCTGTCGACTGACCCCTGAGCCTCAGGCAAAAGAGGCAAATGTCCTACCACTAAGCAATATACACCCAGCCCGTGACTTTTCTGAGTCTTTCCTACTGTAGCCTGGACCTGGGCACGGTATTCTCCTGCATCTGCCTCCTAGTGCTAGAATTACAGTCATGCCATCTAGGCAGATTTAAAAATTTAAAGTTATGTCACTGGGTTATCTCTTACACCTCCCAGAATTGAGGCCCTACATTTTCTACATTCTAGACATGTGATTAAATTCATACCTATTTTCTTTCAGTGTATATTTTACTTTTTACATTTAAGTATTTTATTTATGTAAAGCTTTAACAGAAAAGATAAAGACTTTGCTCTATCTTTGTTTACAAATGGTTAAGAAAATTATCTATTTCCATAAATTTTCTTCACTAACTTTAAGTACAATCTTTATCATATGAATAGCAAATAAATTTGACACAGTTCTGTGGCACAGAGGCTACAAGAGGGTGTTTAAAATGCAGAACACAGTGGAAGCGCTAAAGGCACTTTCTTTAGTCAGAACTGCTGACATTAATACTGCGGCCACCTAGATGATACTCGACCACCTGCCCAATGGCTGTCTCCTCCCCAAAAAGGATCTTTCTCAAGTTTTACAATGGACAAATACAAAATGTTAAATTACAGTATTTTTTAAAGGCAAGAAAAAGCCTGGAAAGAAATCTAGTTACTTATTAACCACATGGATATTTGGTTTCAAAGATACAAAATTGAAGAATTAAATGTTGTTATGTTTTCCCAGGATTTCTGATTGTCTTAATTATGTAATTGCTGCCTTGTGCTATTAACTCTTATCCAGGAGGTTAAAAATATCCATGTATTCATTGGTAATTAGACTGCTTTGGCCTCCACAGAGGTGAATAACCATTTTTAAATATTTGACTATAGTTTATAAAATTATATGAAATTCAAAGTCTAGACTTAAGAAAGAATATAAATAGCAGGCCCTAAATTATGGTATCTTTAAAAATATTTAATACATCTTTCCAAATACTTACTTATCAAACAATGTATGTTGTGGGAATACCGAGAACTGTCTGGGATGGTGAAGCTGCCATCACAGATAGCAACCTGACTCTCACCAAAAGGAAGAGTGAAGAAACAAAGTTTGTACAGTAAACATCCCAGGGCCTGTAAAACAAAGAAACAAGAACGTCATCAGGGCTCAACAATCAACCACACAACACAAAAATAGCCAAGACCAGAGCTGGGAACGGAGCTAAGTGATAGAGCATTTGTTTAACATAAGTAAGGCACTAAGTATAATCCTCAGCTGCACGAACAAGAAAACCAAAAGTTAAACATGCTATTTAAAAACAAGGAAGTTGAACACTCCTATTTTGTATCCAATTATTACTTACAAGTTACCATGTTCAATGTATTTAAAAGCCTTTAGCGTTATTGTTTGGTGTTTCTCTGCTGCATCTGTGACCAGTTAGATAAGCTGCTTTGGCTCATGAGTAACTAAACTAAACCTGGAGGGTTCCTTTGGAGAAAATAGTATCTACTTGGTCCTGTCCTCACTGGTACTGTCAACTTGGCACAAGCTACATCAGAGAAGAGGTCTCTATCCGAATGCCTGTAGGCAAGTCTATGACGGTATTCTCTTAATTAGCAATTGATGGAGGAGGGTCCAGCCCACTGTGGGTGGTGACCACCCCTGGGCTGGTGCTCCTGGGTGACATAAGAAAACAGGTATTACAATAATCGGATAATAAGATCCCAAAGATTTGATTGCCCTCCTAGACTATCTGTCTCTTGGGTTTTCCGTAGCCTCCCAACCCCAGGAGGGAGCAGGCTGGGGAACCAGCAAGGAGACAATCACTGGTTTGCACTCATTACACATGTGAGGCTGGCAAGGTGACTCAGGCAGGGAAGGGAGGCACTGGTTGCTAATCCTGGAGACCGGAAAAGGAACCCTGAGACCCACATGCTATAAGAAGATCAACTTCTCAAAGTTGTCCTCTGACCTCCACACACATGCTGTGACATGTAGCCTTACACACAATAGTAACTTTTTAAATAAAAACATCAAAACTATCTTAACTTCTTTTGTAAGTTCTAGAATTATATTCCTCTATTGAAAATAAGTTCATGCAAATCCAGCTAATAATTAATGTTTATGCATTCAGATTATACAATAGTTTCTTAGACTATTAAATACAATCCAAAATGTATTTTACTAGCAAGTTTGAAAAAGATATGAGACTCTAAACAAGTTTTTCTATAAATTAACACTATCTATTTGTATAATTAAATCCAGATATATATATACTAAATGATAAGGACCTTCAATAAAAGAGTTAGAAAACGTTTACCTTTGTTAGTTTCCAATAAAAAAAAAAAAAGTTACACTGTAATTGCTTGACAGTTACATCCAGATTTTCTAATTCCACTCATTCAAAACTGAAAAATGTGAACGTTCACTTACAATCTAAAGCCTAAAATATATGTAGCATGCAAATGTCCCCTTTCCTGAAAACAGGCACCAGCTCTCCTAACTCAAAAGATTAAACATTCCAGCTTTCTCCTCCTGAGGAAGAAGCTGCTTTCTACATGGGAAGGATGCCTCTGGGAAGGCAACAGTCAAGGAGGCGACTCAGCTGAGACTCATCTAGTTGGAGCAAAGGTCAGCCCTCCAGCCTTACCCAGACATCAGCCTTGGTGGTGATGGGCCTCCCGCCATAAAGGTTGATCATTTCCGGGGCTCTGTATGACAGAGTCGTGTATCTGGCAGCATGAGGGAAACAAAGGACAGGTGAGATAAGCTTCTCTAGAAGATGCAGCATGAAAGGCTTCTGGGCTCAAAACTATACACAAACAACACTGTCTTTAAAGGCTTGTTACAAGTCTATCAAGAATAAAATGAAACAGTATCTACAGACATTTTACTCAGCAGTTACAAAAGTATCTCAATAATACAGAAGCTGAAATTTCTTTACTAATAAAAACTTAAAAGACAAACTATTAGAAATATTTCTGTTGCTTTATATGAAAAAATCCAGTCTAACTATCACAGCCTCCTTATCAAATATTTTCAATTATTAAAAGTAAAACTGCACTATCAAAATTTTAATCTCTTTCCTAAGGAGTTTATTTTAGAAATGATAGTATACCCAGTTGCACACAGTATGTAGTAAATGTTTTGAGTTTTTATAATTGTCTTATAAGTATCTAATTACTACAACTCAATTATTCATATTATGTATGCCTCTAACATGACTACTGATCTAAGCTCTTTGGAATAAAAGACACTGTAAATAAATATTCACCAACAAAAAAAAATTTATTAGGAACAGGAACTTTTAATTAAGTAAGTGCTTGAATCTCATAGCAGAAATCGTAAGAATATAAATGGACCACCACTAGCACAGCAAGATTCTTTTTCAGTTTAAACTTGATGTTACAAGAAGAATCTTAAATCACATCACTCTAATACAAATTGCACTTACTGGTAAGGCTGTCCAAATGTACTACTACAGAGAAACCAGAAAACAAATTGCACAATGGCAGAACTCCTATCACTGTATCTCAGCACCAAAGGCAGGGTTGGACCTCAATAAATATGTTAACTCAACTAGACCATCCATCAACTCTTCAATTCAGCCATCCATAAACTCTTTAATTCAGCCACAAAGAATACAAACTCTTAATAAGCTTACATTGTCATATTCTAATCACCATAAAAATTTAACAGAGCCTTAACTATATTCCACAATGCAACAAATTAAATGTTTATCAGGATAGAGACAACTGAGAACTCAGGCACCCAATAGAAATCTTCATCCACAAGATGTTTCAATTACATGGATGTTCATGGATCCCAAATAGCCAACTTGCAAGGCTACTACTCTTGTGTTCTCCAGGATGTTTATGTTACTATGGGTTCATTCTTACAGAATCAAATGCCATTGTTCTAAGTGGTTTCCTGAGTAGAAACATGCAGTCCACAGTATATGTCCCTGCTTTACAGTCTACATGACTGCATTCTTTAATGGGTCAGTCCCCGCTCTTTCTCACCCTAACCCAGGAATCTATGAGGGTGTGATAAGGACCCCTATCCTGACAGATCTAAGACAGTATGCTGCATTATCTGAAGCTAAAAAGCAAAAAGGTTAGGTTCTCACAACAAAGACAGGAGGATTAAGAAACACAAAGCAAGTGTGACATTTTCTGAGAAAGCTTTTCAATATAGCACTGAAGAGTGACTTCATACATACAGTCTTAGCACTTAACACTTTTCACAGTTTTCAGTATGTATGATACACACAGCTAACCTATTTTGAACAATTTACTTTTGCAAACACACCACTGCCCTGTATCAGTAAAGACAATGACACTATGCTGAACTCACAATCACTTAAGGGATTGGAGAGGCGACTCAGTGGTTAAAGACACTTCTTGCTTTTGCAAAAGACCAGAGTTCAATTCCCACTACAACTACCCATAACTCCAGTTCCAAGGGATCCAATGCCCTCTGCTGACCTCCACAGGCACTACACACACATATGTGGTAAACAGATACACACACAGACAAAACATTCACACTCATGTAAAAATAAATCTTATTTTACATTGCTTAAAATTCTCTTAATGGACCTATTAATTACTACAGTTCATTTTACAAGTTTCTTTATTAATCTTTTTAGCACATAGACAAAATTTATCATTCATGGTTTTCATCAACTATTAGATTCTCCATTCATATATTAATCATTTTCTTTTTGAAAGAGTCTACTAATGGAATAATATAAAATTTGTATTAATGCAGCTAACTAGTTACAGACCCAAGTTAATCAAAATGCCTGTGAGACAAAATGCAATAAAGTTAAGGACTTACTTTTTAATTTCTTCTTCTACTACATTAACTCCATCTTTTTGAGGATTAAGAAATTTATTAGTAGCACTGCCGAAGTCACAAAGTACATAATTTCCAGTATCATTTAGCAAAATATTTTCTACCTTAAGAAAAGAAAATCAATAATTACTATTTCCAAAGTGAACATTGTCCTTTAAAAAAAAAAAAAAACTGTTTTGATCAAATGTTATGTGTATATGTGGACATAAGACACCTCAAACCAGAGACAAAATGAACCAGAGAAGGTACTGAATTATTTCTAAGAACCCCAGAACTCCAGAGGCTAAGACAAGAGGCCAGAAGGGTTAATAAAAATGGCCAACTCTAATGTCCTAAATTTTCTCTATGAAGGAAAACTATTGGTGGTCAAGGTCCTCTTCCAGTACATCTATATCTTTCTCCATTCCAAAGAGTCAGCCTATCTGGAGACAAGGAGTAATGGAGAACATTCAAACTCCATTCCTGATTAACATCTATAGGTTGTATATTAACATGCAAAATGCTTGAGACCAGAAGTGTCACTGGTTTTGGATTATTTTTTATATTGGAAGCAAGACTCAAGAATAATTCTAAAATTCACTCACATTTCATATACACCCTATACATTAAGTCTGACAATAATTTCATACAATATTCTAGCTGCAGTCTGAAGCATATGATAAGGTACAGAATTCCACACTCATGGCATCACCATTGTCAAGTCTCAATACATTTAAGAAAGTGGGCCTTTTCAAATGTGGATTTTCTGATTCAAGATACTTAGCCTATAACACCATTTTTATTTAAAACTTCTACAGTGAAAATACAAATTTAAATTTATAATTTAACTTGGAAATCAGAATTATAGTAACTAAAATAAATTATGAATACTCCAATGTAGATTCAGAGAAAGCCCTATCTGCTGCTTACCAGTGTTTACATCCTTGGACAATTTGCTTAACCACTCCTCTCTCTGGTTATCTTATCCAGAAAAGAGGGAAGATAACAATTACTACATGACAGGTTAGAACACTCAAGTACTGAGAACATGGACTGGAATATATTAAGGACCAATAATTGTTATTACTATGGCAATGCCTTTTGTTATTATTTTTATTTCCATTACTAAAAAGCTAATAAAGTTTATTTTAGGCTCTCATAATTATTAACAACCTACATTCTACATTTCATAAGATATAAAATTATATTTAATCAAAAGTCATTCACTTGTTTATTACTAAACAACCAGTGAGCCTCTGCTATACATCACGCACTGTTCTAAGAGCTTGGACAGATCACACACACAAAACAACCAACAGCAAATGCCTGGTAAACCTCACCTACTAGCTGGGATAGCAGACAATACGCTCTAGGCAGCAGGATCTTGGGGAAGGGATAGGAGCAGGGAGAGAAAGAAAATGGCATTTTAAATTCTAAGTGCAGAACAAGAGTGTTACACGGTTCTTACCTTCAGATCCCGGTGGATGATGGGAGTCTTACACTGATGCAGCCTTGCAACAGCTTCGCAGGTATCACAGAAGATCTGTAAGACTTCAGATTCAGTGAAGCCCGTGTGCAGCTTCTTATTCATCTGATTCACCACCTGCCCAGCTAAGCAAAGAAGCAACTCTGAAGACACCAGAAAGAAATACCCAGAAGCCCCCTTCCAGCTACTCTCAACTCTTATGAGGGTACTTAAACCTGGTGCACTGAGGCAGTGACACACTTTCTTACATTTTACATCTCGGAGATTAGAACAATATCTTGCTAATAACTATTTGCCATTTTTCTAATATTTAACTATTTCTGAAATTGCATTTTTCCCTATGATTAATGATGTATTTCTTTGAGGCAATTCAACACTGTTTTTGCACTGGGTAAAGTGTGATAAACAAAAATAAGGTTTCTATTATAGAATACAGTGTTACAAGGTTAAAAATAATGACACAAGTATGTGACTATAATTGAGGGAATTCAAATTGGGGAAAGGATGGGAAAAAAGAGTGGATCAACTTAGGCTTATGTAAGTGAGACTCCTGCTAAGACAGAATGATTACAGATTAACAAGGCAAAGATTTAGGAGAAGGTGTAATAATGAATGTGTATACAAACATCTCCTGTAGGTAGGAATTTGCTGACAACACGTAACAGTTAAAGGGATGGTGCCAATATGGCTAGGGAAGCATAGAAGGATGAGATGGAAAGATGTAAATCCCACACTGGCAGCTATATCTCACATTTTTCTCTTGAAAGCCAGCCAAGGAGAACTATGCATCTGACTCTTTAAAATATTGCTCTGATTATAGAACAAAGGGACGTAATGGGTAAAGTCACTAATGCTTTACTCCTGGTAACAAATAATAGGACTCGGGATAAAATCAATAATCTTCCTCAGCTGTGGACTATGCATACCATGGACCTGCCAGACAAGAGTTGCCACCTAGTGTAACAGTGCCATTACTGTTAAAGGTGCAAACTGCTTTGTGATTGGATCTAAGGCTGCTCCACAGGAGGGAATGGTGCTGTGCCAGGCTGAACTCAAACTCATGCTCACCTCAGCGTCTTCAGCATATCCTACCAGCATGAGACAACACATCAACCACATGCCTGATACCACAGACCTAGTCAGAAGGTCATTGCTGGGAAGATCACCATGGGTGGAGAGAGTTTGTTACTCTGGAGGCATGCTGTCCACCTACCTTCTACACACTCAGGGTATACCCAGACTTGCCCAGAGAAACTCCTTTCTCTTTCAATGGCAGTAGTTAATGCAGACCCCTAACTTTCAAGCTTCCAGAACACCTGCCTGTTGAGTGCTCAATCCTAAAAATCACTCCATCTCACTCCTCTTACACACACACACACACATACACACACACCACATACAGACACGTACACATACACACACACTACATAGACCCATACACAGCACACACACACACACACACACACACACACACACACACACAAACACCGGCACGCACAAGACAGACAGACAGACACACACACACAGACAGACACACACACACATACACACTGCCTGCAAAGCCTAAGGAGCACCATGGAAAAGAAGACAAAGAATTCAGAACTTGGAGAGGGGAGTACTGCTATGAAACACTGCCTTCCAGGCATAGCATGGATACTGCACTCATGAACTCACAACAGCTGTGATTACCTGCACAAGACCAGATCCGGCAGCACTCACAAACAGAGCAGGGGTTAATGAGGGCCCAGCGCTCCCTGGGCAGCTACTGGCAGGTAGTGACTGCTGGGAGAGGGGATCATGTTCTTCAGTGGTACTAAATGGTTGGCTACCCGTGACAGAGCAAATAATCCCCAACACATGCTCTTGCAACTATCCCTGATATGACACAGAGTGGGGGGGGAGGGAGAGAGAGAGGGAGGGAGAGGGAGAGAGGGAGAGAGGGAGGGAGAGGGAGAGAGAGGAAGAAAAGAGAAAGAGAGGAGGGAGAGAAAGAGAGAAAGAGAGGGAGGGAGAAGAAGAGAGGGAGGGAGAAGAAGAGAGGGAGGGAGAGGAAGAGAGGGATGGAGAGGGAGGGATGAAGAAGAGAGGGGGGGAGAGAGAGATGTGTGTGTGCTCACATCCAAGTGAGAAGAGGCTCCACTGGGAAGAGGGCTCAGGTGCCTCTACAGGCCTCTACTTCTGCCTCCATAAGAAAATCTACCCCAGGACAGCCTACTACAGACAAGAGCATCAAAGAGGTGAAGTAAAACTACTCCAACTAATCACAATTAACAAATCAGCATTGCCACCCAGCCCACCAGGCTCAGCCCACAGCAGCTGACGGACAGACCCTCAAGCAATAATAAGCAACTGTTGCTTTATGCTACAAAATTTTCAAGTGTTTTATTATTAAGGAAAAGCTAACAGATACAATTACAGGAATTAATATAAAGCAGCTTCTAAAACAAGCTTAGAAAGTCACAAATTGCCATAATTGTCCATAAGTTACTCATAAAACAATAGAAATATATTCAAATTAACCATACTGATATCCAGAATTCTAATTCCAAAAATACAGTATCTCTTTAAGTCAGTGGCTCTCAACTTTCCTAATGCTGCAACCTTTTAATAGTTCCTCTTATTGTGGTGACCCAACCATAAAATTATTTCCTTGCTACTTCATAACTGTAATGTTGCTACTGTTATGAATCATAATGTAAATATCTGTTATGTAATTATGACCCTTGTGAGAGAGTTGTTCAACACTCAAGGGGGTTATGACCCACAAGTTGAGAACCACTCTTTTAAGTAATTACTATGTTGGAATCTGCAAGTTAAGTAATAACAAAGCATGAACTTAGAGGTAAAAGGCAGCTGCACTGCACAGAAAATGGCAGTAAACACTGAGAACCTGAAGCACGGAGCAAGTGATGTACAGGTCACACAGTGCATTCTTCCGGTTCCCAATGAGGGCTATCCCTATAAGTCAATGTGTGAACTGTCTGTTATATTGGTTCCCTGGTCTTAATATACAAGGGGCTTCTACAAAAGAAGGGCAGACAACTCATTCTCTCATTCTCTGCTCCTCTAAAACACTCCTCCACATGGGAGAGAAAGAATGTATCTATTTGATTCATATGAGAAAAGGAGTATTCCTGCTCTGGCCTCTGGAGTGTTCCTCCTAAGATAAAACTGCCAATCCGCAGGGTACATTCTGATCTCTCACAAAAGACAAGAGAGAGTAACAAAGCAGAAGGATCTGGGGAAAGTTAGAATAAAGAAAACAATACTTTAAATATTTAATTAACGGAAAAGAAGATTTACACCTAAAACAAGAGCAACAGGTTTTTAATGAACTAATGAGAAAGGATTGCTAAAAATTACATAGCAAAAGTACAAAATTCTATAGAAAACCTTCATATACACTTAAGGAAGCTTCCAACAAAATCAAAAGTTAAAAGGAAATAAAATGAAAAGATAATCAAAAGAACAATCACCACAGGAAAACAAATATCGATTTCAAACAAGTTCCAGAAATAACACAAACATACAACAGAAAAAGCTTGGTGTCTTACAAAACCTAGCCAGGAGGTGGCACATGCCTTTAATCCCAGCACAGGCAGGCCAATGTGGGTTCAAAACCAGCCTGGTCTACAAAGCAGGACAGCCAGGGTTACACAGGAAAAACCTGTCTCAAAAAAAAAAAAAAGACAGACACAATGAAGCATACATATTGTTGTAAGATTTTAATACACTGAAGATAGAGAAAAGCTCCTGGATAGTGTGTATGCATACTAGTAGAGAGAACAGGGAACAATGCAGTGTATTATTTCTATCCCAAAATCTTTTTCTCTGACCAAATTAACAATCAAATGTGGGCACAGAATAAAGACATGTTTGTCCATGGCCACCCCACACCCCGAGAGTGCCCAATCTCACCTGACCTCAGAAGCTAAGCAGTGTCAAAGCTGGCTAGTACTTGAAAGGGAAAATATATATTTACAAACTGAAGATCAGAAATGCTCCCACCCATAAGTTCATTATCAGAAAGTTAAAGAGCGTGGAGATGCAGCTGAGAAGGGGAACCCAGCAAGGGGGGGGGGGGGGAGGGAATAAGCAGTTAAGAGGCTAAGAGAGAAGGAAGTAAAGAATTCCATCTAAATCCTGTTTAAAATCAGACAGGTGAACCTAAGTCTCTTTGAAGAGTGTCTCCAAGAGAGGGAGAAAAAAGAAGCTCACACAAGTGCTATCATGTTTAAGCTGCCCACACAGGGACTTGGAATTTCTACTGAGGAAGATGGGCTAAAATAACAACATGCCTGACAAAATTAGGCAAGTGAAAAATTGGGCAATTATTAACTGCAGGAAAACCTCACTGTACAAGAAAGAAAATGTGGTTCTACACCTGCATGTTGCCCCTGAATGGTAAACAGCACAACGAAAACACAGACTTAGTCCAAAAGGGAAGCACATGCAACCCTGGGAGTAAATCTCATCTTGCCTTGGAGACGCTGTCACAGAACCTAAAAGAGCACCGGTAATGCTTCTCACAAGCGCCTGCCTGCTCCTGCCAGGACCCACTCCACACTGGCTGGCTCGGTTCCTTCACCCTCACGCTTTCACACGCTCCCTAAGACAACCTAGAAATAGGGAGGGACAATTTGAGAACAACATCTCATGTGTCTTAAACTGAGTCTCGGGGGACATGGGGTCAATGGGCTGTCAATCAACCACGGCTTAGTAGACTGTTGGGCTTCTGCTGTCCCTGCTGTTTGGCTCTGTTTCCTTTTGAGACAGACTCACTAGGTAGTCCTGGCTGGCCTACAACTCTCTATATAAACCAGGCTGGCCTCAAACTCACAGAGATCCACCTGCCTCTGCCTCTCTAATGCTGAGATTAAAGGCAGGTGCCACCATGCCAGCTACTGGGCTTTTTGACCGTACATACAAATTACTTTGCTTTCTCTTTCAGATTTAATTTTATTTTGTGACTGTTTTGACTTCAGGTGCACATGTATCATGCATGCTGGTGCCTGTGGAGGTCCTAAGGGTGTGTGTTAGAGCCCTGAAACTGCAACCGCAGGAAGCTGTAACCCACCACACAGGTGCTGGGAACGGAGCCCAGGTCCTCTGCAGGTGCAATCAGTGTTCTTAAACCAGTAAGCTACCTCTCCAGACCAACTTAAATCACTTTTGATTTAAAAATTCCTATGAAACAAACCTTGATGATTCAAACACTAGATAAACATTTCTTTTTGAAAAAGCTGAGTAAGAGACACTGATTTGTAGAGAACAGACTAAGTGCTCTCTTCCTCACACATTAAGACACAAGTCAGGGATAATTTCTATTTGTTATTACTGTTAAGGCATGCTATGCAAGTAACCATTTATTTTAAATACAATGTTAAGTCTAAATAAAATGATTTCCTATTTTCTGACACAAATGAATCTTTAAAAACTTGAAGATTATGTATTAAAATGCAGGTTCTATGGGGCTGGAGATATGACTCAGTGGTTAAGAGCACTGGTTACTCATCAAGAGGACCTGGGTTCAATTCCCAGCACCCACCAGACAGTTCACAACTGTCTGGAACTCCAACTCCAGGGAATTCGACACCCTCATACAGACCTACATGCAGACAAAACACTAACGCACATAAAATAAAAATAAATCACTTTTTAAAAAATTCAGGCTCTCTAACTTGAAAGGAGAGTCGGGAGTTCTCAGAAAGAGAAGAGAAATAGTGACTGAAGAGACAGCTCAGTGGGAAAGTGAGGAGCTCAGCTGGATCCCCAGAGCACATGCAGAAAGGTAGGTATGGCAGCAAGTACCTCTAACAACGCTGGAGAGGCAGTGGCAATCGTACTGAGATACCCATCTCCAAAAAACAACATACTGCCAGCAGGACAGCTCAGTGGGTAAGGCACTGGCCACCAAGTTTACTAGCTGAGTTTGATCCCCAGGACCCACGTGCTAGAGAGACCCACTCTCACAAGTGAGCCTGTGACCTCCACATACACACTGTTGTGTGTGTGCCCTCATTCACAAACCCATACACACACTCACACACAAATAAAAAAAAACAATCAAAAATATTTTTCAAATCTCCTACAGGCACTACACACCTGGACACTCACACTAAGGAAACTAGCATGTTTTGCCTAAGTTTGATAAATGTAGTATGTTTACAGTACCTCTTTCAACATTAATTCTTGGTTGGATTACAGACAAGAAGTGTAACTTCACTTGCTTAGATTTCTGATCTCATTCTCACCTTGTTTAATTCTCCATTTGCAGGCTGCTGTCTTACTATATATTATGATTAGGTTTTAAATAAGTGCTAACAGCATCTGTAATTAAGTCATTAATTGCAGTACAGTATCTAGAACAGGTAGCAGCTGCCCTGGGAGAAACCATAGAACCTAGTGCTCCAAGAAAAGGGCTCTCTTTTCAGTACACCACAAATGAAAACAGACACTTACCTCGGCAATATTCCATTAAGATAAGCACTTCCCACACATTATCACTAACTGAATTGACAGCACAGTCCAAATAACCAACAATATTTTTGTGGCCAGATAGTTCTTTCTGTGAAAAAGAAATAAGATCTTTAAAACTAGAAAATATAAAGCCTAAGCTTCTATAAGTAAAGGTTGTAAGCCTGAATAAGTAGATTTAATAAATTTCTAAAAGTAAGAATAAGACATGAGGATATTGTAGTTCAGCCAGTGGTTTTTTTTTAAATTTTTTTATTTAATTTATTATTTTACATGTCGATCCCAGTTCCCTCTCCCTCCCTTCCTTCCTCCCTCCCTCACTCACTCACTTTTACCCTCTCTGCCCTCTCACATGCACCCTAACCACCCTCCCCTCCCATCCCCCAATCCCAATTCCATATGTAGGGCAATGCCATCCAGTTGGGGTCGTGTAAATCTGACAGGTCATGTGAAGTAGGGACTAGAGCTCCTCTCCTGTCTCTAGATTAAGGCAGTTATCCCTCCATGGGGGATGTGTTCGCAAGGTCCTTTTGTGCACCAGGGATACATCCTGGTTCCACTGTCTGAGGTCTCTTAGATTGCTCAGTCTTTCTGGCTGAGACCCATATTCAGGGGGGCCTGAGTCAGTCCCATGCTGGCTTCCCAGCTATCAGTCTGGGGGCCAGTTAGCTCCTCCTTGTTCAGGTCAGCTGTCTCTATGTGTTTCTGCTGCCTGGTCTTGTCCTTTCCATCTGCATCTGGGTTCTAGTTCAACTCAGTGTTTATGTATGGGTGTTTGCTCCTGTTTCCAACAGGTATTAGATGAGGGCTCCATGGATAAGTTAGTTGTTGATCTCACTATCAGGGAAGGGCATTTATGGTAGCCTTTCCACGGATGCTCAAATTGTTAGTTGGCGGCAGTCTTGTAGTTCTCTAGACCTTTCTTTGGGTTCAATTTTCTCTTCAAACCAATATTGGCTCCCTCTTTTATGTTCTCAGCCAGTGGTTTCTACGGTGAATTTTTCATTGGAAATTTCAATGTATATGTGACAGTCATTATCTAAGATAAACAACCAATGACCATTTGTTTATAAGTTCAACTACAAGAAAGTGATAAAAAGCAATAATCTACCAAGAGCTGGCAACACAGCTCATCCCATAACCACACTTATCACTAAGATCTGAGGACCTGAGTTCAATACCAGGGACCAACCTGGTGGAAGGAGAAAGCCAAGCTCGGCAAATTGCCCTGACCTCAACTCATGCTGCCCCCAACATGCCCACACAAAACAAACTGTCCCAGCACTCAGGAGGCAGAGGCAGACAGACCTCTGTGAGTTTGCAGCCAGCCTGGCCTACAGAGTGAGTCCCAGGATAGCCAGAGCTGTTACACAAAGAAACCTTGTCTCAAAAACACTGATAGGTAGAGTAGATAGGTAAGTAGGTAGACAGATAAAATTTAAAAAATAATCTACCAAAGTAAGTGTATGATATAGTCCTCTGAAATTCAAGAATAAATTATTAGAACTCTAACTAAAGGAATTAAGCTCTAAAGTTAATGAACTACTATCATATGTTTTTCCTAAATATGTTACACACAGTAGAACACTTCCACAGACTCACGGGCACACGTACTTTTCACTACATCTAAAAGAGGAGCAAGTGGCCAGAAGACATTTGTGAGAAAGAACCAAAGATTAAAGATAGCACTAACGATGTGTTCAAGGAAGTAACAAAATGGAAAATCTAAGAACTTTTTCCTCCTTGTATAAAATGGTCAAGGGAAACAGCTCAATGGGAAGAATGGCTTAGCATGGGTGATGATGGGGGGGGGGTGGTATATAGCATACAATTATTTTAAATGAATTTACAACTACTGTCATTAATAATATACCAAGTTTCAACTGTGCAAAGCAGTCTGTGGTCAGAACTATCTGAGGCATACCTTGGAAGATGGGTCACCTAAAAAAAAAAAAATAGTTGAAGACTATCACCACTCCAAAGGCACCATCTCCCTACAATGCCCTGTTCAAAGGCAGAGGAGCTGACTGCTGCTGTTGCTATCATAGCGTCACATGTCTCATATCTATAGAAACTCTACCAAGCGAAAGATTACGGCAGAGTAGTACATCAACTAGGGTCAAGTTAGACAACTCAATCTAGACTTAGCCATTATCTTCAAGTAATTCTTTTTCAATATTTTGGCCAATATTTTTACCTTCAAAATGTCTCAAAATGTCTCTAAAATATAGCTAAGGAATAAAAACAACTAAAATTTAAAACTTCAGATCACATAAATTCACTTATTTTGTAAATGCTGGTAAAGACACTGACATAAAGTGAAAAATCCCCCTTAGCTGTGAGATTTATGGGACTGGCACTAATTAAAGCTGCTGATGAGGGCACACATGAGGAAGACTAGCTCTTCCTCAAAATTTGTAAAAAGAACCTAGGTAGGTAACCAAAGGAGAAAAACTGAGGACTCAAGAACATAAGCACACACGCATAGCAGCAGCTAGTTACAGAAGCCAAAGAAGCAGAAACTGCCCAAATGTCTTATCAGTTTTTCTCCACTAACAGGTAAAACTGTGGAGCTGACAGAATGTAATTTGGTGACAGAAAGGAAATTAAACACTGACAAACACTAACTACAATGTCCATGAATCTCAAAGGCATTGGGAAAGTAAAAAGGGAAACCCCACTTATAGGAAATATTAGAATAGAAGTTGACAAACACAGAGAGAAGGGTGCTTGCTAGGAGCTAAATGAAGGGAAATGGCATTAACAGTAAAGTGGGTAGGGTTTTCTGGGGTGAAAAAAAGGTTTGAAACTAGACAGAGGTAGTGATTATACAGTTTAATGAATGTGCTAACTAAATTAATGAATTTTCTATTACCTGAAGTCTAACTAAAAAGACACACACGTGCACACCGGTGTACAAGGTAAAAAGCAAAGGGGAAGGAAAGAAATATGAGAAGCACAAGGCACAGAGAGCTCTACTTACAGAGGAGGAGCAGGAGGAGGAGGTGGCCCTTCACAATCATGCTGCACTGTGCACTCACTCACTGATTTCTCTACTCTCTACTTTCACTCAACCTAACCTAGTGTTTACTGACACTTCCCTTGCTGAAGGACAGCTAGCCCTACAAGGCACATTTCACAGGAAAAGCAGGATTGCTAAGTGAAAAACAAAACTACTGTTTGTGGGTATAAACATGAGATGAATGTAGAGTGTGGACAGCAACTACAATCACCACACTCAGGATGGAAGTCTCCTGCTGCACGAGAAAACAGTACCTAGACACAATGGGGCAAGGAAGGGGGAAAGCTCTGCGGTATCTGTCAGGGGGATAAACTTGATGTTTATCATGTAGTTCTGTGAGTGTTCTCTCCTCCCAACAGCCCACAATTACAATGAATTTGAAAGGAAAGAAGAGCCTGGGAACCTACACACTGAAGGCAGCCACTGCACTCAGCCCCAAGTGTGGCCAGGTGCAATGAACTGCCAATTATAACACAAGAATTTAACTGAATGATTTTTTTCAAATGTGGGTAAACTGATGCATAACATGCTTAAAAATCTATGAATGTTGTAGTATAAAACAAAAAGAAAAGCAACAAATTTCTAAAACAAAATTTTCTCTCACTTACCATAATTGTGATTTCCCTTTTACAAATGTTGAGGTCAGGTGTATTATTGACATACATTCGCTTCAGTGCACACCGGATCCCACCATGAGTCCGCACCAGGAAAACAGTGGAGAATCCACCTACAAGACCCAATTAATTTAAAGCAATTAGAGACTACCATCAAAATTATATACTATTCTATCATTTTTATTGGGTGCGGTGGTGCACATTTTAATCCCAGCATTCTGGAGGCAGAGGCAAACAGATTTCTGTCAATTCAAGGCCAGCCTGGTCTACAAAGTGAGTCCCAGGACAACCAGGGCTACATACTGAGAAAATACAAAAACAAAAAAAAACAAAAAATTAATTGGAATTACACATACACTCACACACATGTGTACACACATACACACACTCACATGTACTCACACACACCATCATTAGTAGCAGAGGGAAAGAGTCAAGGACAATGTTTAAGCCAAAAATAGTAAGTACAAAAAACAGTTTATTGACTAAGAGGCAAGTCTGGCTTCCTGTGTCAATCAGGAACAGTACTTACAAAGCCACACGATTCTCAAATGACTCAGCTTCCATTTTAAAGAACAACATACAAAAACTTTCTTTTCCACAGAAACACCTGTGACAAGGTAGTCACAAATGCCCTCATACTAGTTTGACAATACTATCATTACCCACCCATCTTGACGATAATGCACAGCTACTATTTAACACTCAACAGAGCTAAGTTGGGACAGCTGGACCACCCTCCGACTGCAGGGATGAACTCACCATATTCTCAGCCAACCATGGGATCTCTCTGCTTATCAGCCACCTACTTCAGGGTGGATACTGACCAGCTCTAATTCAAGGTTATATGGCAGGTGAATCCACTGGAACTGTAGGGATGATTTTCCTGCCCAAATCTATGTGTGGCAGAGAAAGTTCACTATTCTTTCCCACTTCAGTGTAAGATGATGTTTGAGTGTGATGTCCATAGATAGCCAGTGGCCATGGTGACCAGAAAGAAAACGGCTCAGAATACTAACAGGTAGGCTAGTGAATGAGCCAGTCTCCCACCAGAACTCATGAGATGGTAAGTGCCTTTATCTACACCTTCACCTACTCTCTACTGCATCCGGGAAAGTCTTCATTTCAAGTTCATACTTAGACAATGCTATTGTCAGATCTAAGATAAGATTCTCATATTAAATCATGAAGACTTGTTTTTGGTACAGACCATTCTATAATTCATGTTTTTTAAAGGCATATCAATTTTGTTAATACTATAAAGGCATGGTTGTTAAATTGGTGCTATGGTTGGAAATTATGAGACAAGGGTATTATGAGATACTGTGGACACTTTGAAAATGCACAAGAGAAGAATAGCAAATAGAAACAGACCTGAGAGATAACAGGAGAGCACCCTGACAGAAGTAAACGTGATAATGAGAGTAACTGCCATCTTCACTAGGTTCAGTCCCTTCCCATCTTAGGTATACTCTCAAAAACAACCTAGCTCTCTCAAGGCTCTCAAGTGAAACAATCCCATGGACACCTCCTCCCTCCTTACCTCTCTCTATACACAATCATTAATTAAATGATGGTGTGCTTTGTTAGATACTTTACAAGCTGTTATATAAACACACAGGTAGTAGGGAGATCAGCTCATAGTGAAAACTGCAAGTTTCTCACATATTCTGCATGGAGAAGGGGGAAGATGTTAAAAGAAGACTGGGTTACAAGGCAGGATGTGACACACTGAGGTAATGAAGGCGATGAATAAGAGGGCTTGGAGTTAAGTATGAGAAAACAAAGCTGACCAGGTGAGACGTGGGACAGGCAGGGCTCTGGGCCACTGACAGCTGGTCAGGTGACCACCACAAGCCCTTGAGGAACACAGAATAAGGCACAAGTGCCTGTGCTGGCTAGTTTATGCCAACTTGACAGAAGCTATTGTCATCGGAGAAAAAGGAGCCTCAACTGAGAAAAGGCCTCCATAAGATCTGGATTTGGCTGTAGGCAAGCCTGTAGGGAATTTTCTTAATTAGTGATCGATGAGAAGAGGGGCACTAGGAGTGGAGGCTAGTGGTCCTAGGCTCTAGAAGAAAGGCTGAAAAAGCCATGGGGTGTGGGGGGGGGGCAGTAAGCAGCACCTTTCCATGGCCTCTGCATCTGCTCCAGTCCCCAGTCCTGCCCTATTTGAGTTCCTGTCCTGACTTCCTTCAATGATGGACTATGATGTGAAAATGTAACTCAAATAAACCCTTTTGTCCCAACTTGCTTTTGTTCACCTGTTTCATCACAGCAACAGAAACCCTAACTAAGACAGTGTCCTTTCTCATTTTCTGATTTCTAATGCAGCTAACTGTGATGGACAGAATTCTAAGTAAGACTGCTTCTAACCTCCACCTAGGTGACCACTTTAGACCACCTCTAGACTTGGAGTTAATGAGGTAACCAAGAGAACTGCAGCTACATCCTGGCAGCTGTGAGAGGCAACTCTCTACCATGGAGGAGCTGTGCACCTCATTATATGAATGTGAGAACAAAGAAATGGTCTAATTCACAACTGTGAAATACAAGGTTGGAAGTCATGGTGTTACCCAAGTGACTAACAGCACAAAGCCAAGGTCAATAACAACAAAGCCTGAGTCAGAGACTGACAAAGGCAGCTCCAACCACCCCTAACTGGGCAGCCAGCACAAAAACAATGCATGATCATCTCCCTGACTGGGAGCACCAAGCACATGGCCTTCCCTTGGTTCAGCCTATGTTAGCCCGAGGACCTCCATCTTTGTCCAGCTTTCCTACAAAAACTCTAAGCAGGAGCTCAGTAGCTTTTTCCTCTCTTGGAAACTCCTCCATCTCTCGGGAGTCTCTCTCTTTTCCTTGGCTTCTCACTATCTCTTTGTCCTACAAACATTAAAGTTCGTTTCCACTTTGTATATTCTCACATGAGTTCAAAGTCTTAACTTACATTGGCATAAGACAACATGGAGTCACTACCTCAGGTTGACCTTTGGTGACCATTGAGTACCGAGTACCTTAAGACCCTGGGTCATGAAAAACTGGCCAAAGGGTTCCATCACATTGAAAACCCCTGTATCAAAATGTGATAGGGGCATTACAGAATTTCTCATCAATGTGAGAACAAACATTTCTCCTGGTTGGTTGTTCCAGTTGATACACTAACTGTGTTTGAAAATGAAAAGCCAGTGTACTATTGCTTCTATGAACATGAGGAATAGCAAAAGAACACAACACAGGTGTCCGCCTGCACTGAGCAACGGAGAAGAGCATCACTTTTCCTTCAGAGGCACCAAACTGTTAGATGTTGTGAGCTGTGTCTGCAGAAGCTTTTCAAAGGAAGATAAAACATTTTCCCTTAGGCACATATTAAAGGAGGAGGACAATAACAATAACCTTAAGCTTGAGTACAGTGGGAAAGCCATACTGACTTAAACACCTTTAGGATGATTGTGTATCACGTTTAAACAGTAGGAAGGTTTAAATTTGCTTAATTACTGGTTGATGGCAAATATCTTTTTTTTTTAAATGTCATTTCTGAATAAAAAAGATGTGTTTCTTCAATAGTTGGTACAAAAAAAAAAAACCTCTATCCAATTCTAACATGAACTACCCATTGTTAGCATAAGCTGGATTGATTACAAAATGTTAAACTTAAGAGGAGTCATGGAAACCTTAAAATTTGGAAGTCAGTACAAGATATCAGAAACACAAACAGGTAATACAGAATTGTCATGTACTTGATAAATACTGATATGATCATACAATTAGACTTCCTTATTCACTGCATGATTTTTTGATCCTCACCACTTCCTGTCTGTACCACACAGCACAGCTGGTGCTATTTATTAAGAGAGGGATTTCTTGAATCCCTTGTTAAAACTAACATTTATCAACTACTTTGTCATTCTCTAACTGTAAGTAAAAATTTCTGAAGAAGTCCTCACTTAAAATTAGCCACATGCAAAACTGTACAAAGGAAATGTGGTAAAGTAGAGTTAGTTACATCTAGATGGCAGGAATGAGGCTACTCGCGGCAATATGTACTTTCCACCTCTCTGTAAGCTTTTGAGGTTTCTACCACTGAGCTGCACCCCTAGCCCTTGGACTTTGACACAGTGTTTCAATATGCAGCCCAGGCTGGCTACCGCCTCCTAAGTGCTGGAATCACTGGTACAAAGAACTTTCTCTTTGGAAGCTGGAGAGATGGCTCAGCAATTAAGAGCACTGGCTGTTCTTCCAGAGGACCCAGGTTCAATTCCCAGCACCCACATGGCAGCTCACATGCGTCTGTAACACCCTCAGATGGATATATATATATACAAGCATATTACCAATGCACATAAACAAAAACTGAAAAGAGAACTCTATCCCAGTCTTAATCCATCCTTTCATACTTACACTGGGCAATCAGTGGCATGGTATATTTTTCTGTGTTTCCTCTCTTGCCACCCAATCATGTCACCACCACTAAAAATTAACATATCAAGAAAAATACTACTGTTGATTATACACAAGACTTTCCCAAAGGAACTGTAAGTCTCTTGTGACAGAAAGTTTATGGTAGCCTAGAAACCATGAGCTTTGACATCCCAACACAGAAAACACTGCATGTTTATCAAACACTTGACGTAGGTGGTGATTCCTATGAACTAACTGTATTCTTAGGGAGAAGAAAGAGGGGAGGGAAGTTAACATGTGATCTTTTTTTTCTTCCCTGAACATTTTACCAGTAAAATAAAGACTGAACTATCAGCAAATCCTAGCTCCAAACATTGCCAAAGAAAACAATGTGACTTTGACGCTATCTTCAAGATAAGTTGGAGAGACATTGACGCGCATTTGTGCGATTTGAGGCCTGAAAAGTCCTTCCTCCCACTGACTACCCACCTCTGGAACAACAGAGTCCCAGGTCAAGTCAGCAAATCCAAGGCTTTCTCCTAGAAATGAGGTTCTTCCTAACAAGGAATGATTACTAACTTACATCCTTGCCAAAGTTAGTTATCAGTAAGTGCAATGAATCAGAACTGAGGCGGGAGACACTGATCATATTTCATTCCTGTTTTAACTTATTTCACTCCAGCATTTAACTTATTTCCATTTTATAGATGAG